AGAACAAATAAAATAGGTAGATTGAATAGATATGCTRGGAACAAAAATATCTGTTTAACAGAGTTTAAAATGGACAGAGTGGTTAATTTTGTAGCAAGAAAAGAAAGGGGTGGCAAGCGGCAACAGGGGGAGCAGGAGAAGGCTGGGCAACCTTTGCTCTTGCACCTGTCACACCTCCTCTGCTGAGAATCTACATTTTCACTATTGTGCTCTTTTACCGCGGCCTTTAGACAGATCTCTTCAGCTAAGGTAAGGAACGCTTTTTCAATATTTATATTTGCGTTTCTAATAGTCTCAAAAAAAAAAAATCTAATACCAGGCTCCTTTGCCATCTGTACTCYTTTAAGTACAACTCTTTTATCTTTCTCAGCACCCTTTATTAGAAATACCCAGGAGCAAGGAATCAAACAAGTGCGCTGGGAAGTAGCTCCTCAAGGCCAACTATTAGTCTGCAGAACCTGCGCTTCTGAACCTGGCGGGCCAGGGAGCACACTGCGCAGGCAGACCGCGGGTTTTTAACCCCTAACGCAGCAAGCACCGCCCCCTTGATCTGATAGGAGGAGCCCGGCGTTACAGACTAGGTGATTGTCTAATTTTAAAAATGGGGCGGGCAAAGGGAAGGACGATAGTTAAAATGACTATCACTGGATCTGACATCCCAATTAAGGCTAAATACTCTATTCTGAAAAGGGACATCAGACTCACGATTTGTTTCCTAGCAACATTCCGCCCGCGTCTTCACTGGCCTGCCATCTGTGTTTCCTAGCCACCTCCTGATGTCTCCAAAACTTCTCCTCCTGACCTGCTGCATCCCCTCTGCCGCTTGACCTTCTTACCTTGTGATTCAACGGGTTTGATCTTAAAGTCTAGGCCATAAAGGTGGTAAGAAGTCATCCTAGAAAAAGGAAAAAAGGACACAGGACTTCCCCACTCCGGAGACCCCGACTGGCGGCAGAGAGAAAAGCAGGAGGTAGGTCTCTGCCCTTGGGAGGAGCAGCGCAGCCTCTCTCCACATGGTCCCTAGAGATGGGTCCTTCTCTCCAAGGCCAACTCCTCCCATGGGCGCTCTTGGGCCAGAGGACTCGGGAAGCATGCAGAGAAGGAGGGCTTGTGAGGACAGGGGTGACCTAAACGCCTGGAAGGTCCTAAAGCAGCGACCACGGCTCCACAGCCTCTCCCAGCCTCTTCACTGGGAGCTGTGGAGTCCGAGGGGACTAAATAGCCCCCAGTCCCCATTCATAGCTTCTCAGCCCAACGCTCAGACGGGCCAGCCAGCCGGCTCTGCAGTGGAGGGAGCGCGCGGGGCTGGAGCACAGCCTCTCCCAGCAGCCACTCCACCTGAGGACGCACCAGGACAGCACAGGAAGAGCCACCCTAGCTGAGCACCCAGCTACACAGCCACCAGCAGCCCTTCCTGGTAACTTCTCACGCCTGCCACCTGCCGGCAGGACCAGTGCCCACCAGCCCTGGTCCCACCTTGTCATATGCTCTCAGCAGAACATGGACTTGGAAGGAACAGACTAAATTGAAGCCACAGCACCTGAGAAATCCAAGATCAAGGTGCTGCAGACATGGTGTCTAGACACCTTCTTCCTGGCAGGCAGTTGGCCCCTTCTCACTAGGGCTGCACATGGCAGAGGGAGAGAAAGAGAGCTCTGGTCTTGTAATGCCAGATTCGTGGGATCCCAATAAACCTCCAGGAGCCGAATCCGATGCAATCACACAAGAGTCTTTATTGCAAGCTGAGCCTGGGCTCACAACCGTTCCCGAAGCAGTGGTCCCAGAGTCCTGACCCTTTGTTCAGTGAGATTTATAGGTTTGGGGGGTACTGTATGCGTCACAACATCACAGAGCAAATCGTTCCATACCACAGGAAAGTCAAACAACAACTCTTAACATTGATTAGCACATTCACTGGTGGGAACTAGTTGGGTAAGGGTGATTGGTTAGTACAAGAGGGAGGTTCCTTCGAACTGATGGGTTTAAGCCATGAGCAGTGTACGTGCTAAACTACAGGGTTTCCCAACATGTTATCTACCACCATAAACCACTGGGGGGTCATCTGGCATCCCAGGTATTTTCCCTGTCTCATGCTGATTGGTGGTTGCTAGGGGGGTTGCTATGGGTCCTCACCTAGCCTAACTGAGTCAGGGACCCCTGGTCCCTTAGATCTCTCCTGTTATTTACAAACAACTCAGCAAGGTGCGTATGGACCTAGAAAGGCTCTGTGGGGTTTTCCAAGGACAAGGGTCACGCCCCCTTCCTTAGGACAGGCCTTGAGGTAGAAGCTGCTGTTATTTATTTATTTTCAAAAATAGAGTCATATCAGTTTCTCAGTCTCTCTTCATAGAAGGACACTAACCCCACTATAGAGGCCCTACCCTCACCACCTTCTCTAAACCTAGTGGCCCCCCCACCCCCCACCACATTGGGAGCTAGGGCATCAACATATGAATTTGGGGTGGGTGGGAACACACACATTGAGGCCATGACATTGTGCAATCAGCTCTTTAATAGAATTGATGCCATGCAGCCAGCATTTCCTTCAGATAACAGCTTCCTGTGCTTTGATTGAGCTCCACTAAACCAAGTGTTCATGATTACAAAAGAGTGAAATCTGTAAACCAAATCATTCCCACTGGCTTGATCAAACTCCCCCAAGGTAACTGRTGCYGCCAAGATAAAGCCTTGCATTTACTGCTTTTCACGCTTGCTTCTGGCGACCGCCATCCCAATGAGGCCAAAAACACCCAGGACAACTGTTGCAGTACCAATCGCAGTGAGTGTGTCAGTCACCTGCAACAGAAGACAGGGGGCGGAGTCACATCAGGAGTCTGAGCAGAGATCCTAGTCCAAGGAACCTCTTTCCTGGGCTGCAGGTTCCTTGGACCAGGAACATGCTCCCTGTCCTGGTCACCACATCACAGAGGAAACAACTATTGGCAGGGAGGGGGGATCCCAAGAGGTCAGGCCACCCAGGAAAGAGGACAGGAGGTCCCTGTCAGGAAGGAATGAATGCAGGACTGAGTCTCAGTATGAAAAGGGAGTCTCAATGGAGGAAAGAGAGATGCAGCCTAGAGGTGTTTAAAGCATGATAAACCCATGGGGTGGCTGTGGGAAGGACACRGTGGCAGGGCTCAGATGTTCTAGGTCAGGGGTGGCCGATAGGGAGCCTTGAAGCAGATGCCAAGTTGGGGAATGACTCCTGTGAACTCCCACTGCCCAGGGCTTGAGGACAGGGACCCACCTAGGTGTTCTTGGTGTCCCTGGTGCTCAGCCCACTGCCTGGCACAGGTGGACCTAGTGACTTAGCTGCTGAGCAAATGGTGGACTGGGAGCAGCGCTGAGGACAGGCTTTTGTGCAGTGAGAGGCCTTGCTTGTGTGTGAGAGGGAAGGGGTCCTGCTGAAGGACAGAGTGGGGACGTGAGGGGGACCTTGATGGTTGCTGCTTCGGCACAGGTGGCGTGAAATGACTGACATGGCCAACCACCACCCCGGGGCCATCTTGCCCACAGGTGGAACTCAGGCAGAGGGGGCCACAAACACCATAAGAATGGCTGTTTCCAGTTCACTGTCCTGTGCTGGTCATTGTCCAATGCTATAATTTTCTTACCTCCCTCAACAACCCCGTGAGGCTGGCATTCTAATCCCTACCTTCCAGCTGGAGACGACTGAGGTGGCCAGTGGAGAGACCTCACTCAAACCACACGGCTGGCCAGTGACCAGGCTCAGCTCTGCTTATGCCTTTCACAGCCAGGGAAGGAAACTAAAATCAGTGACGCGAGAAGAGATTTCTGGGGAGTGCACCATGTGCAGGCGGGGGAAGAGAAAGGGCAACAGTGCACCATCTTACCACAGACACTCGATCACCTCCAGATGCTAAGGAGAAATGAAGCTGGACCTCAGACAAAGCAGTGACCTCAGACTTCATTCAGTCACCACTGGCCGTGAGCAGGGCTCTGTTGTATATGGTGCAAAGGTGACAAGTGTTTCAAAGGGAGGTGAAGGAGCAGGGGTGGGCAAATGGGGGTCGCTAGAGTCAGGTGAAAAATGATGAAGGGAGGTCCCTGTAAATGCAGTGAGGCCGGCTGAGTGTGCTCCCTGCAACTAATGGGTTAGGATTGTACCGTCCTGAGGAGACGGCAGAAGGCCCTGTTTTCTGATGAGTACATTCCAAAGGCATCCCTCTCAGACCCTGGAGAAAGACACTTCTGAATAATAAGGTCTCTATCTATGTCTATGTGATCTTCCTGTCTATCAATCTGAGTCTCACAGAGTCAGAGGAAGGATGCATAATTATAAGCCCATTTTAGTAAATGCACTAAGACAGAGAAGTCTTGGGTCTATCATCTACTGTTGTTTGGGGGAAAAAAATAGCACATTCTCTTGACAGGCAAACTTTCTCAAGCAGTCATATGAAGGGGGATTGGGAACTTTCTAGGGACAGAGCTTCATGTTCCAGGGGCCATGCTAGAGGTCAGTGGTCTATCAGTACAAAATGTGGGCAGAGTCACTAGGAGCCCAGAGTTCTGCAGGGCCCACAGCACACTGTGTACAGACAAGGAGAAAGTGAGTTGGAGACGGGCAGAGGAGGAGCTTCCTATGGAGGCAGGGCAGAAGGGAAGGAAGGAGTGAGAGGGAGAAGACAGGCGAGTCATTGAGATACCTGCAGAAGAGGTTCCCAAAGAGGGACCCCAGGCCAGGGAGAAACTAAATGGCACAGCCACTACCGAGTACCCCAGGCTTGCTTAAGTTGAACCCTCAGAAGCACAGCAGAGAGCCCACCACCCCTAATACACCCAGAGGTAAAACTGATCCTAGGGGCTTCCCTGCAACTTTGGAAGTGGTTTTAGATACATGACAAAGCAACCCACCACAACAAACCCTTGAGCAACCACCCCTAGGCCAGACACACATCAACCCTCCCCAGCTAACAGGAGGGGGACCCACTCAGCAAGGTCACAGCAACAAAGCAGGTCTCACCCCAGTGCCCAGAGCTGACGGGCAGTTCTCAGTTACCAGCCTGGGTTCCAGCCTGGGGCCCTCTCTTCCAGAAGGGATGGATTTTCCCTGCCCACCTCCCCTCCTTACCACAGCCTTTCTCCTACCTTACCAGAAAAGAGCCAGTCCCTGCCCTCCTGAATGGTGGGGCACAGGCCAAGGTTCAAACATCCCTGGACACCAAGGGGGAAAATTCCAGAACACAGAGCTCCCCAACAAGAGGCCTCCAGAAGCAAAGCAGCATGTGGAGGGAGGCCCTCTGCCAGGTCCACCTCCCACTGAGATTAGAATTCTAAAGTGAGGTGGCACCATGGCCTGAGCATTAACACCTTCAATTCAACTGAAAAATTGTCAGCGTATTTTTGTTTGTTTCTTTGTTTTTGTTTTTGGTACTAGGGATTGAATCCGGAGGCACTTAACCACTGAGCCACATCCCCAGCTCTTTTTTATATTTTATTTAGAGACAGCGTCTCACTAAGTTGCTTAGGTACTCACTAAGTTGCTGACTTTGAACTGGTAATCCTCCTGCCTCATCTTCCTGAGCTTCTGGGATTAAAGGTGCACACTAATGTGCCTGGCAAATTGTCAGTTTTTGACTAAAAAAGTGATCTGATTTGACACCTGGCTTGACTATTTAAATTATCCCAAAGTCATTTTTCATTCGTTAAATAAGCTAATTTTGCAATACCAAGGTTTTCAAGAAAATCTGTACTGAAATCAGGGGTGCAAAAAGCAAAAAAAAAAAATCCATCCTTCACAAATATTTCATATTTTGCATGATTTTTGAAATGTTTGATTTTCAACTAAAAATGTATAACATAATTTGTCTAAGTTTTTTTTGTGTGTATGGTGCTGGGAATTGATCTCAGGGTCTCATAAACTCTAGGCAAGTGCTCTACCATTGACTTACAGCCTCAGCACTTCAAGTCCTTTTAAACCAAGACTTGCTAAACCAAGCCTTGACCGACTGTTTAAATCTAGCTGCCATATGTTTCTACAAAAATAAATAAATGAAAAGAAATCAAGATTTTTGGAACACAGCTTTGCCTGTTGGTTTACACAAAGTCAATGGTTACTCTCAGGCTACAGACTGACCCTGGCAGAGTAAGGAGAGGAACCAGCTGGCCCAAGAAAGCTGAAGGGTTTCCTGTTGACCTTGTGCAGAAAAAAATGGACACAATATGACCAGGGTCCCCTTCTCCTGGACCCCACTGCTCACTCTGCCAGCTTCCCTGACCCCCACTCCCGGGCAATCTCCAACTCAGTTACACTGCCAACCCTCAGCAGGTGCCCACGCCTTATTACTTGGGAATGATCTGATCGCAGGGAAGGGGACACAGGCTGAGGACACACCTGGTCACTGCGGGAAACTCCATAGCGCAGCGTGTTCACAAAGTGCTCACAGTTGTCACTTGTCAATGAATAGGGGACTTCCTTCCCCACCATTTTCTCTGCCTGTTGGACAATTTTGTTGGGTGGCAGTGGGTCATACTTGTCATCGTGCTTGTTATTGACCCGGTACCTGTCTCCTCCGGCCACCACAGATAGCAGCTCCTTCTTCACTATGGCTCTTTCAGCCACGATGGACATGATGCTGCTCACACTAGCTCCTGCCACTTCACCTGTGGAAACAGTGGACTCAGGCCTGGGCAGGGCCACAGTGAATCAGAGCTGGCCTCGAGCCAGAGAGCCTCAGTGCCAAATTGGGAGAGTAAGTGGTTTTCACAAAGTTTTGTCCTCCTCCTCTGGACAGCGTCTTCCCCCAGCGCTCATTCCCAGCTGGAGCAGTGCTGTAAGCAGCCCTCCACCCAGGGGTGGCTCAGGGTGGCTGCAATGCTTTTCACTGTCCGCCCCCTCCACCTGGGAAATCTTAGTGTCCTGGGACCTAACTCAGACATGTCCTGGATTTGCTCTATCATTAATTCCTTTCATATGATTCACATGGGAGGTCCTGGAGTCCAGTGTTGAATGATTCAGAACTAAAATTAGAAAATGAAAATGATGCCTTCAAATATGCTACTAAGAAACTGGCTGAAACCATAGTTGAAATCAATGGAATCTCTGTGAGTACATGGAGTGTTTCTGTAGTAGTATTATATGAGGCAGAGGGCAGGTGTGCACACGGTACAGACCAATATTCAGGGCATGTCTGGAGAAGGAATTAATCATATTTTGTTGGGGTATAGAATTCGTGGAACATTTTTATAAAGATTATAAAAATGTATTATGCTTTTACCCTGGTTTAACGCACTGCTGTTCAAACTGACATCGTGCCAATGCCAAGATGCCAAGAATAATCACGATATTCCTAATACACTTGGTGGTGGGTAATGGGATCCACCTGGAAATGCACTCTCTCTTGCTCTCTCCTTCTCTCTCTCTGTGTCTCTTTCATGTTGGATTATTCATTATTTGTGGTAATAAGATATACAAATATTTCCAATCCAAGGGATCTGGACGCTGCAGCCTGGAATATTTCTCACCCCCAATAACAACATACAAATTAGAAATGCCAAACAAATTCTCACCTTGAGATCATTATACATGAAATATTCCTCCATAAGTGAATGTTTCAAGAACTTCCAAAGCTGATTATGAAGAGAAACTCTGTATGTTGGTTTTTTTTTTATCAAACCCTGTTAGCACTCCCAGAACCAGTCTGGAACCCCAGCTCTTGGGCTCTCATGGGAGCACAAGACTCTAATGGGAGTCTCTAAATTAGAAAAACCCATGACCTATATTTCTACAAGGCCTGAAACAAATTCTCACGATACATTAAATTCTCTTCAAGGAAGACAGCCTAACATAAGCAGCTTAGCTTCAATACTCCATAACGAAAGGTTCCTTGATCGACTAACTGCTCAATGGAAGGAAACAAAGCACTTATTAGGCAAAATGCTGCTTCTAAGATAATAAACTCAGGGTTGTCACCCAGAATCTTAAAGATCTAAAGGATGGATCCCGGTACCTCATGTGACCAAGGAGATGTGATCAGTGGACCCACCTCCCAAACCAATTGGTTAACTCTGGGCTCCTTGACACCTGGCTCTGGAATGTTCTCCAGGCCCTTGGTATTATTCTCACCTTGTTGCAGTAACAACACTCCCTACATGTGGCGTATCCTCAAGAGACATGAACTTTGTCAGCAGCCACATGCTCTTAAGATGACCTCTATGAGCACTAAGCCACCAAAACTGTATTCACAAAAACCATGTGAAGGATCTGCTGAGTCCTGATTTACCATCTAGGACGTCCCCTGAAGGACAAACATCAGAAGACAAGAGTAATCTTGGGGATTAGTCCCATTGCTGGTCCAACTGAGAAACTGACCAACAGAGGGGATTGTTAAACAGAAATAGAGAGGACACCCAGACTGAATGTAGACCAAAACCCCAGAGCCAGGCACCGTGTGGGGCACCTGCCTGTATCCTCTGACACTCAGGAGGCTGAAGCACAAGGATGTGAGTCTGAGGCCAGCCCAAGCAATGCAGTGAGACCCTGACTCAAAGTAAAATTTTAAAAGGGCTGGGATGTAGCTCAGGGTTAGAGCACCCTGGGTTCAACCACCAGGGCTTCAGCCAAACAAAAAAACCAACAAGAACAAAGGGCCCACCACATGCAGCCCTAACTGGACACTGTCCTGATTTCCCCAGAGCCAGCTCTARCCCAGACAGAYMTCCCTCTCCTGCTGTGAGCAGGACCTTGCTGCYRTCCCAGGGGTTGGACACCAAYCAGGGAGCMCCCKCAGCAGCACAGCCTAAGGGGGGCAGGTTCCTAGTGGCCAGGCTCAGGGACAAATGCACTCCCTCAATGACGCTTCAACAACTGAGTGTGAGCACTGCTGTGAGCTGAGCTCTGTGTCATTTGCTGTTCAAAGTCCATGAGTTTGTGAGCTGCTGTAGGTGCCACAGAAGGTCTCAATGTCTCCCACTTGACTGACTTCCTATGTGCACACAGGTGCATGTCCACACCAGCTCTACTAGTGACTTGAAGGACTGGACAGTGTTCCTCTGTGTGCAGGTGAGTGGGGTTTCCAGCATGTCCACGTGTCCCTTAAAGCCATGATGCTGGGCCAGAGAGTGAGGAGGCCCCACACCTGGCCAGGCCCTGCACAGGCTCTCCCTGCCCTCCTTCATTTCTCTCCCTCACGGCCTGGGAGACAGGAATCCCTATCCCTGCTCTTCTAAAGTGGAGCTCAACTGAGTGACGAGAAGCCGAATGCTCAAGTCACAAAGGAGGCCCAAGAGCCAGGATTCCAGGCTGGCCCTGGGGAGGTTGGAGGCCCTCACCTGTCCATTGCTCTTTGCAGCCAGGTATAAACTCTTGGAAGGATCAACTCCTTCTACTGTTGTTTGACCTTGCAGAACTCCACAGACACAGGGAACTGGACCTTTGGAGGGATGCTCATCAACTACAGTGGGATCAACTGGGACTGAACCTGCTCTAAAATGGAAACAGGTCAACAATTCTCCCTGAACTCACTGATAATGAGGACTAGCAGAGATACAGCCAGAGCAAAGAGCATGATTCATTCAGTAAGTGCTGATTGAGAGCCTGCTGTGCCAGGCAGTGTGAGGACCAGCACATAACTGTGCCTGTGTACATACTCTTGATCTCAGCCCTTGTGTTTAATAGAGAAACCTTACGTACTTGGTGGAGCCAGATGGACCACATAGCCATTTCCCACATAGATGGCCCAGTGCTCATAGCCAAAGCGAGAAATTTCAATTAGGTCTCCAAGTTTTAGTTGTGTTCTGTTCTGTAACAGAAAAACAAGACACAGATTGGGTGGGGGGTGCTTTTATGGAATGCTGTAGAACCTGATCTGCAGGAAGCCCCAGCTCTAGCCTACAGAATCCCTCTGCTCATCACTTGTAGGAATCAAAGAAGAGACACCTCTCCTTTCACTGGTGGGAAGCCTCCCCTCTCCAGTTACATTATGTTTGTGAGCCTGGAAAGGTGCTCAGGGACAAGGAGATGGGAAGGGTGTCATTGAGGGACCATGGCAGTAGATCTGCAGCACAGGAGTGTGGGGCAGTGATGTGCACCAGCTGCAGAGAGCACATTTTATGCACAGAGCATGTTTGTAGCAGCAAATGTTGATATGATTCCCAAAGATGTCAAAATCACCTTGGTAAGGGCCACCAGCCATATGCCTGGGCCTCAGTGATCATTGTGAGTTACAGAGTGCCCACGTACAGAGCCCAACCTGCCAAACACCGCAGAACACTTGACCCCCACTGTTCATCATCCTTCGAGCAATAACTACCACCACCCTCCTGGATAGATGAGGAGAATGGGTCTCAGCACAGTTAGGGAACTTTCCTAGAGAGCAGAAGAGCCAGATGGAAACCGAGATCTCAGGGTTTCCAACATTTATGCCTGAACAATTCCAGAAGGTTCCAGATAAGCTGGGGGAAGTTCAAATATGGGCTCCAGGCCAAAATCAAGAAAATAAAGACAGGATGTGGTGGAAGTCAGAGGGGGAGGGGTTCTCTTCTGAAGCTCACATGAGCAAGTTGCATTTCTGGGACACTCTGAGGCAACCAGCTGCCCTCCCCAAACTCAGCTGAGCCGGGCCTCTGGGCCCAGTGCGCCCTGCAGAGAAAAGTGAGGGTGCAGCTGCCTGGAGGTGGTGGGAGATCTCCTGGGAGTTCAAGTGCTTGGCAGCAAGGATCAGGAGTCAGCTTGACCCAAGGGGGGCTGATCAGAGCATCAGAAAGATAATAACTGCCAGCAGTGATCAGGCATGGCTGGAATCCCAGTGACTTTGGAGGCTGGGACAGGAGCATCACAAGTCTGTGGCTAGCCTGGTAATCCAGGGATATGTGGTCCCATGTTGAAGATTTTAAAAGGTCTGGGGAGATAGCTCAGTGTTAGAGCGCTTGCCTAGCTTGCACAAGGTCCTGCTTTCAATCCCTAGTACTGAAAAAAAAAGAAAAAAAAAAAAAAACCCACACATGTATTGAAGCACACCACAGTGGTTCTAGTAAACACATCTAAGTGAAAGGAAAGATAGAATAAAGTCTTAGTGTCCTCAGGGAACCCAATTAAAAACTACAACAAAACCTAAAGCTACAAACAGATACTTATAAGGTGGCTGTATACATGTGCAAATGCACAGAAACATATGTGGCAGAGAGCACCCCAAGCTGCTTGATGGGAAGCAGGGAGCCTGGGAGAAGGGCTGCCGTCCTTGTTGCTCATGGCTTCGACTTTGCTTTGGATTTCTTTCTTTCTTTCTTTCTTTCTTTCTTTCTTTCTTTCTTTCTTTCTTTCTTTCTTTCTTTCTTTCTTCTTAAATTCTCTTTCCACATCTTCTACAGTGCACGACACTTGTACATAATGATGAGCATTTTGTTGCCTATACACACGTGCACCCAATAATCCAATATATTTTGGCCGATATCACTCCCTAACTTCTCCTCCTCACTCCCCTCCTCCCACACCTTCGTCCCTTTTTTCTGTTGGTCTCCCTTTGATTTTCTGCTTTTGGTTTTTTAAACAAGGCAAATACATTCACATATGATTGTGGAATTAATTAAAATAAGAAACAGAACAAAAGGTTTGGAATTTAAATCCTTCTCAGCCTGTGGACACTCCCCACTCTGACTTAACTGGAATCTCATTCTCCGTTTCCTCCTTTACAACCTGTTTCCTGAAGCCTGGTTTGGGTAAAGCCAAGCCTTCAGCGAGGTGCCAGGAGGCAGCCAGCACTCAGGAGACCAAACCCCACGCAGCAGCTGAGGCAGGGAAGCCTCTGGGCTCTTGGACCCAAACCAGGGTTCCTTTCCTGCTGTGTGAGAGCCCCAGACCTGCAGCCCACCTGTCCCCCACCCCAATCCCTATCCCCTCTACACCTGAGCTGGAGCCAACAAGGACAGCACACATATTCACGCTAACAGACTGTCACTGTTATTTTTAAATGAAAGCTTCAAAACCCTTTCTGGGGACTCACCCAACTCATCGTTCTGTCCAGAAGTGTGGAGTGTTGCTGGCTGGATGTCCAGCTTCTTTTATTTAGCTTTGAGTTTTATTTTTTTCTTAACTCCACCTATCCAAGCCTTCCAATAGGGGAAAACATAGGTCAAAGTTCACATAAAAATTTTAACCCTCCAACAAGTACAGGGCACAGGTCCAGAGTCAGTTAGATATGGAAATCAGCAGGAGGGGTGAGAGATCAGCGCTCAAAGTGCATTCAGGAGAATTTGGTGGCATCTGTGGTCAGGGAACATTCCAAAATGCCCAAGTTTCAGATAGAGAGGAGAGAAAGTGAAACAAGCAAGTGCTGATACTGGAAACAAACCCCAGAAAAACGACCACACACTATTGGTGAGTGTCAGCGAGGGTTCCAAGGAGGGAGGGCCTCTGAGCACACAGACACACCCCACAATGAGGATATAAACATCCCCACGACAGGCAGATATTTCTACCAACTTTGAAACCAACCACACCAACTTTGAAACCAACCACACCAACTTTGAAACCAACCACACCAACTTTGAAACCAACCACACCAACTTCGAAACCAACCACACCACCCGGAACAAGCCACCAAGGACACATCCCCACACTGGGAAAACCGGAGAACTTGTAGGGGCAGAAGTGTGAGAAGGGCTTCCCCTCACCCAGGATCAGAAGCGCATTCATTCTAGCCCAGCAGGGAACCTAATCCCTAACTAGCTGGTGTGAAGAGCCTGCTTCTTTGACACCAGTGTGCTACCCAACCCAAGCCCCAAATAAGTTGTTTTCTTCCGACACCCACTTAGAGACCTCACATCCTGGACAGTCCAGACAGCAAGGGGTGGGAGAGACTGGGGGCAGCTCAGCATCCTCACTGTGGGGCTTGGGGAGGAAGCAAGGACCAGCTCTTCCTTCCCTTGCTTCTCCCTCTACCCTCACACTTCAGGAAGTTCCTGCGCCCAACTCCCCTGCCATCTCTTCAGCTGGCAGTGCCCACCAAGTCCTCCTCTCAGGAGATGGGGCTGTGATATTGTTAAAAGTGGCTGCACCCAGAGATGGAGTATCTGGGCCTTGGCTCACACTCCGTCCACACTCAGCCTGCATTCTGGGCTTCTGGCTGGTGAGCTAATTCCCTGCCTGCCTCTCTGTGAGGAGAGTTTGGAGGTCTCTCCAAGCCCCAGAGAACACCCCTGTCCCTCTTCTTCCTTCCACAAGCTTTTCCTCCCAGTTCAAGGTGATCCTTGCCTCAACCTGTGATCCCTGAAGTGTCCAACCTTGACTTTCTGTTAGAGAAGTTCTCAGCAGGGTTGAGTTCAGCCCTATCATGGGAATTAGAAAAGGAAGAGGCCAGGTTCTTATAATTCTAAGAAATGGAACAGTTCCTGGAGGGCATGTTTTATAATTTGGAAAAAGGAAGTTGTGGGTGTTGTGTTGCCCTGTCCCCAGGAAAACTCCTGCCCTGTGTCCTCATGGAGGCAGAGGCTCAACCTCAGAGCTCAGCTCCTTTCTGCTCACAGTGCCCTGGCCATGGCCTTGGGCAACTGAGGATGGTAGGGAAACTCCCTCCTGCTGTCTCAGCCTTGCTGGGGCTTGATGGACAGGCTGACTCAGGCTGGGGTGCAGGAGGAGGTGGACAGGAGACCTGGCTCTGCTGCAGTCCAAGTCAGGTCCTGAGGTGGATCTTGGAGACGAAGGGAGGGAGGCCAAGCCCCCAGGAGTTTTTCTCCTGGAGGCTGGAGAGAGCTCAGACAGGTGCAGGGAATTGTGGCCCATTCTGATCCTTGCATGATGGGTTTGGGGTCCTGGGTCCCAGAGAGGGCCAGTTGAGCCAGAGGGCAGTGAGGCACCTGGTGGGAAGGAGTCTGGATGGGAATGKGAAGAGGGGGAGTGGGCATGGGAAGGGGGTTGGGGCAGGGAGACCCAGGGGTGCAGAAGAGCAGAGGCCAGAGGGAGCATGAGGTGAGTGGAGGTCGAGGCCCTGGGTGGACCTGGGGCAGAGCCCAGGGAGGGGAGGGAGGGGGGAAGTGTTGGTGAGGAGGGGCATGTGGTCTGGGGACTGGGTATGGGGCAGCAGGGACAGGAGGTGGGGAAGCTGGCAGGAGGCTATGGGGGTAGTGGAAGCAGGAAGGGAAGTGCCCTGATTCAGTTAGTAGACAGGAGGTGGAGGAGGAAAGAAATCGGGAGAGACTCCTGGGGTCTGCAGGGACTCTACTTTGTGATTGGAAGTGGCAGCAGTGTGGGCCATGGGGCTGAGGGAGGAAATGTGGGGCAGCGGGAGGACTTAGGATGACCCCTCTTTTGGTATTGGGGAGCCTAGAATAAGGGTTGGGGAGGGAGAACTCATCCATGAGATCAGGCCTGAAGAGGGAAGAGGAATAGAAAAAGAATTGATTGGTGACGCTGCGGTGCCCTGGGTGGAGTGCTGAGAGTGAGGACAGGGCGGGGAACGAGGAGCAGAGGGAGGCCCTGGGGTGACTCATGAGGGCTACAGGCAGGGGAGGGTCCAGCTCAGCCTCTGCACMCAAGTGACCTGAGCACATCACTCCACCCTCTGAGCCCCAACCCCTGCACCTCCACAAGGAGAGACTTCAACCATCTTCCTCCCATTGTGTTCATATAATTGCACCCTCAGCTGAGATTTATTGAGGCAAAGGACACAAAGCAAGATGGGCAAGAGGGAAAGTCCCATGGGGAGAGTTCCTGAGGAAGCCAGGTGCGAGCTTCCAGAGGATTCACATGGGATCACTCAACTTCTTCATCGATGTGCTGTGACAACACGCGTGGAGGGTTGTCTACCCAAGAGAATCCCAAGAGTAGCAGTCTATGGTTTGGGTCTGTGGAGAGTCACCTAGTTCCCCTCTGCCTGGCCTGTACTGGAGGTCGGGACTCCCAGAAGGCAGGCAGCATGCAGTGTAGACCTCACTGTTCATACAGGTGGTTTGGACATGCTGAGTCATTGTGATCACTGAGGGCAAGGTTTATACTAGTGCAGGCAACGGTTGACCTGCCCAGTTTCCAGACTCAGCTAAAAGCCAACCTTGTAGGCAGGTCTCTCTAGGAGTGCCTGTCCCCAGTCTGGAATGTTCAATCATCATGCGTAAGACACAGCGATCCCAAGCGTGCAGGCATCCACAGCTTCAACACAGGTGCAGTCAAAAGGATCTGGAAAAATGAAACAGCAAATAAGCCGCTGCAGCTGGAGACTTGACTTTCCTCTCACGTAACTGATGGAGTTCATGGGAGGAAACCATCAAGGACCCAGGAGAACTGAACACCACCACCGAGTAATCGGACCTAACTGACATCCACTGATCACTTCCCCCACAACAGCAGAACACACACTGCTTTCAAGTGCCCAAGAACGTACACAATGTGCTCTTGTTCTAGATGATGAAAAAAATAATAATAAACCTTACAAATTAAAAAACAGGAAATCATCCAGCGTATACTTTCTCCCAAAAATGGGATTAAACTAGAACTCAATAACAGAAGAATATAAGAATCATGTGCAATACTTGTCCAATGTGCAGTTGGACCACATGCTTCTAAATAACCCATGTGTCAAATCGGAAGTCTCCATGGACACTAAAATATTTTAAATGACAAAAAAAATCACAATACAGACCATCAACACATGTGAGGTTTAGGTAATGCAGGACTGATAAGGAACTTGATAGAACTAAATGCATATTTTGGCAGAGAAGAAAATTGAAAGTCAGGATACTGAGTTTCCATCTGAAGAAGTTAGAAAAGAGTAAATAAGTGCAAAATAGGCAGAAGAAGGAAAAAATGAAGATAAGAGCAGCAATCCATAAAGTGAGCAACAGAAAACAATAGAGAAATTCGGCAATGCCAAAAGCTGGCTCTTCTAAAAGAGCAAAAGATAAACCTCTAGTGAGACTGACAGAGCCAAAAAGGAAAAATGACACAAATTACCAATATGAAGAGTGAAAGAGGGGCTTCCAGAAAAGCTTTGGCAGATATTAAATGAGAAAAAAATAATATCATAATAAAAATTTAAGAACTGGGATTAAATGGGCTAATTTCTTAAGAATCACAAATGACCAAAATGGTTCTAGATGAAATAGATACTCTGAATAGTTCTGCAAGTATTGACTGGAGCGCGTTTTTAGTTTATCACCACTGAAAAAATAAAATCCAGGTTTAGATGGCTGTCCCAGCAAAACGAGGAGGAAACAGTCCCATTCCATGAAACTTTCTGGGGAAACAGAGAAGGGAACACTTCGTCTCATCCATTTACAGTAGCATTCCAATCTGACCACTGAGTATTAAAAAATACACCCAGAGATCAACATCTCTCATGAACACAGAGGTAAAAATCCTCAGACAACATCAGAGGATCAAACTGAGCTCTTTTCAAAAGGAACACTCCCACATGACCCCATGGACTTGATCCCTAGAACCCAAGAGTGACCCGATCATTGAAAATCAAATGTGCAATATGTCACATTACCCACATAAAGAACAAAAGTCACACGGTCATATCAACTGATGCAGAAAAAGCCCTTAACAAAATTCAGCATCCACTCCTGATTTCAAAATATTCTCAGCATCCATGRAAAAAAAAAAAAAAAAAAAAAACATATATATATATATATATATATATATATATATATATGTGTGTGTGTGTGTGCTGAATAGAAAGAAGCCCTGAAGAGTAGAAGGAAGGGAAACAAGAGGAGGGGAAACACGGGGGAATTGTGTCATGTATGTACACAAATATGTCGCAATGAAACCCCACTGCATGTATAATTATAATGGACCAACGAGTACACAAAATAATAAAATGATAATAAACTATTGTTTTTCTACTAAAAAATATAGTTGGCAAAGTGTCACATCATGCACTTTAAACAAATAAATCTTAGCAAATGAGTACTAGAAGATCGCCTCCTCAACTTATTAAAGGCCACCCACAAAAACCTAAAGCTAACTCTAAGTAACTGAAAAAATTAAATTCTTAGACATACATCTAACACCACATATATGCTGAAAACTAAAAATTCTGACTGAAAAAAAGACTGGGGCTGGAGCAATGTACTTATTAAACTTCCATCAACACCCGATGGGATTTACTCTGGGAACTTTAAGGTAGGATAACATTGGAGAGTCTTGTCAATTTTTTATCTGTGCATATTAATGGTACAGGATAACGGATTTCATTGTGGTCTAATCATACACACATATAACACGACTTGGTCAATTTCACTCCCCAGTTCCTCTCCTGACCCTCTCTTCCTCCGTCCCCTGCCCTCAAGGTTGCCCTTCTACTTTCCTTCTTCCCCCTCCTCCCTTCACATATGAGAGAAAACATGATACATTTCCGAGCTTGACTTATTTTGTCAACTTGATGGTCTCCAGTTCTGTCCATTTTCCTACAAATGGCATAATTTTGTTCTTTGTGCGAGAATAATACTCCATTGGGTATAGACACCACATTTTATCATTTATCCATTGACCTTGGCTGACTCCTTGACTTGGCTGTTGTGAATGTGCCGTGATAAACGCAGGTATGCAGGTATCTCTAGAGCAGAGCATGTCTTTAATTCCTTCAAGTGTTCCACACCCAGGAGTGGAACAGCTGGATCTCCTGGTAGTTCTAGTTTTTTGAGGAAACTATGCTGATTGCCGTAGTGGCTGTACTAATTTACACCGACAGCGCGTAAGGAATCCTTTTTCCTCACACCCTCACCAGCTCTTTAATACTATCGGAATTCTTGATGACTGATTGCCGTTCTCACAGGGTCAGGCAGTTGGAATTTCAATTTGCGTGGATCTGGTGGCTAAAGAGGGAGGACTCTTTTTCCTATAATTGTTGGCGTTTTGTATTTTTTTTTTTTTTTGAAATGTCTGTTCAGTTCATCTGCCTGTGTATTAAACTTGTTACTAACATTTTTTTTTTCTTTTTTTGAGTCTTTGGGGCTCATTATATTCTCTGGATAGCAATTCTTGGTGAGAGGAGCAGCTGGCAGAGTCCTGCTCCCATCCCACCCCTATCTTTCTGTTGTACAGAAGCTGTTTAATTTGATGCATCCGGTGATGCTTGTTGGTGTTATTTCCAGACCTAGAGGAGTCCTATTCAGGAAGTGCTGGCCGGCACCTGTATGCTGGAGCGGTGTTTTCCTGAAGCTTCTGGTCTACCATCTAGGTCTTTGATCCTCTTAACATGATTCATCTCATTAACAGATTGTAATGCTAATTTGAATTGTCAACTTGAATGGATTAAGAGATGCTGATGATTAAGAGACTACTGGACACGTCAGTGAGGGCGTATGCAGGAATGATTGGCATGTGGGATACTGAACTAAATGGAGACCCTCCCTAAGAGAGGGCAGTGTGGTGATTAAGATGGTGGCTTGGATGAATGAAATTTAGAACAACAAGGAAGCAGCAACAGATGCCAGCTCTATTCTTGACCGGGTTCTTGATTGCTGCTGTAATTGCCTGAGGATATCAGACTCTTCCAAAGCAGACTGTGCCAGTGATTTTCCAGAAGCCTTCAGTCTCCAGTAGCAAAGCCCTGTTGATCCCTCTTGTTCTGGGGTTGGCGCAGCTACTGGTTCTCCCAACTCCCTGGCCGGCAGATGGCCATTGTAGACTATCCACCTTCGGGTCAGGTAAGCCAACCTACTAAGTCCCCTTTAGAATCCTAATTCCTGTTGATTCTGTTCCTCTAGAGAATCCTGACTAATACACCCATCAAAGAAGAGAAACTAAATTTGCTATATCAACAAATGCTGAAGATATCCAATAAAACCTGACAGTCATTCATGATTTTTTAAAAATGGAGGAGGGGGAATCTTCTAGTGAATTGAAAAAAGCCAAAAAAGATTTTTTTTTGTCCTAAAACTTTTATCTATCCCCAGAATACCATAATCACCATATTTAATGGTGAAATATTAGTAACATTTCTCTAAAGTCAAGGATAGGTAAAGGATGCCGGCTAACAGGCCTGCTGTTCAACAGTGGTCAGGACATCCTGGCCAATGTAGGGCATTTAGGAAAGGAGTGGGGAGGGTAGACTGAGTTGGGGGGAGGATATGATTAAAAGGAAGAAATCAGAAATCAAGTTATTTTTTGAAAGTGGTATGGTTGTCTTTTCGAAGTACTAGAAGAATCCAGCCACTTTGCTAGAAATAAGATAATTATTCATAAATCAGGTACATTTGTGTACCAGCATCATTTTAATTGTTGATGGACAATTTTTTTTAATTGTTGATGGACACTGTTAAGCTCGAATTCGGGACCCCCAAAAGACCACCAGAGACCAAGATCGATGTAAACAGCAAAGAGGTGTTTATTGCGAGCAAGCTCGGTCCTCCGCGCGCGCACACACACAGCAACTGGTGACGCTGAGAGGCCCCGAGCCCAGGGTTTGCAGCAGTTTTATACATTCTTTGGAGAAGGCAGGGATCCCCACATACATCATAGCATCTCTTAGCAAATCATCACACACCGCAGGAAAATCAAATAACAACTCTAAAACATGATTAGCACATTCACTGGCTGGAACAAGTTGGGTAGGGGTGATTGGTCAGTACAAAAGGGGTATTCATTTGAACTGATTGGTTTAAGCCAAGAGGGGTGTTTGTGCTGAACTACATGGTTTCCCAACATGTTATCAACCACCATAAACTACTGGGAGGGTCATCTGGCATCCCAGGTATTTCCCTGTCTCATGCTGATTGGTGGTTGCTAGGGGGTTGCTATGGGTCCCCACCTAGCCTGACCGAGTCAGGGACACCTGGGGCAGCAGATCTCTCCTGTTATTTGTAGATAAACAACTTAGCGGGGTGGGAATGTGCCTAGGAGTGCTCTGTGGGTCTTTCCAAGGAAAAGGGTCATGTCCCTTCTTTGGACAGGCTTTGCTCTGAGGTAGAGGCTGGTTTTTCACACAATGCCTTTATTTTATTTATTTATTTTTATGTGGTGCTGA